CCCCCCTTTTTTTTTTTTGCCAAATTTTTTTCCCCCAACCTTTAATGCCCTTAATTCCCATTTAAAAAATTTTTTTTTTTTTTTTTTTTTTTTTTTGTCTTTTTCCGTGTCCGGCAACGGATCGCAACCCTCAGTGTTGCCCCCGTACCGGACCGGGACCGGCAACGGGATCGCAACCCTCAGTGTTGTCCCCGCGCCTCGCTCAGCCAGTGAGCGGGAACCGGTCTGTATGTGGGATCCGAACCCTCGGCGGGAGCGCCGCCGCGCTTCTCAAGCGGCGCACTAGCGCAGTGCGCCACCGGGCCGGCCCAAAATTCTTATGTCCAAATATATTAGCTGGAATTCAGACTAGTATGTTCTGCATGTAAATAGTCATTATGTTCTCAAAGAATATTATTCATTTTTTTACTTGACATTAACATTTTATGTTTTAGGATGGCCCCAGAAGTAATTTTAGCCATGGATGAAGGACAATATGATGGCAAAGTAGATGTATGGTCTCTTGGAATAACATGTATTGAACTAGGTAAGCATTGTTCTTCATTACTGTGGATTGCGTTTTGATCAATATTTTACCTCAGTTTGTGTTCTAAGTTATAGATTTTTATTTCATATGTGAAATCCTAAGGGAAGCAATTAATCTGGTATTTTTTGGTTATCTGGTAATTTTTTTTTTTTTAATCTGGTAATTTTTTTTTTTTCCCGTGTCCGGCAATGGATCGCAACCCTCAGTGTCGCCCCCCCCGTACCGGACCGGGACCGGCAACGGGATCGCAACCCTCAGCGTTGCCCCCGCACCTCGCTCAGCCAGTGAGCGGGAACCGGTCTGTATGTGGGATCTGAACCCTCGGGCGGGAGCGCCACCGCGCTTCCCAAGCGGCGCACTATCCAGTGCGTCACCGGGCCGGCCCATATCTGGTAATTTTTATATATGTTAGGTTAGGTATATTTGCTCTGTTAAATTAGGCCTAAAATAATTATCCACTGTGTCTTTAGTTAAATTTTAGGTATCTTTATCATATGGCAAAAAGATTTAGAGTAGCACAGTCCCATAGAATGAGTATTTGTTAAGCACCTAGGATGTATCTGCGATTACCAGATTTACTATCTATAAAAGGTTTCTAAAGCATTCATGAATTACTTTCCTCTACCTAGGGTAGTTATTACTTTGAGTTGGTGTGAAAGTGAGATGTCAGGCTGCATTCCATATTGTAACAGTTGATTTTTTTTTTTTTTTTTTTTTTAATAGATGGTAAGGCAGTCTTTACTCAAGGGGGGCTATGGCAATAGGTATATGGCATCTTGCAGTGGGGGAGAGAGTCTGAACCCAATTCCCTACAGCAGTTTGATTTTATGCCCACATTTTGTTCTGTTGCTTATAAGCAGAACTATGCTAAAAGCAGTGGATCATCATAACTTAATAACATTCCCACTGTAAGTGAGCCAGGTGGGTAAGTGAACTGTCACTATAATTGAAGATGATTACCATCTTCTTGCATTGGATTCCCTAAGCTTCTCCTCACTAGCACAATATCCTTTCTTTTTTTTTTTTCTCCTTATAAGAATTTTCCAGCGGGCGTGGTAGCACTTTCCCGTACTCGTGAAGCTAAGGCTGGAGGATTATGTGAGCCCCAGAGTTTTGGGCTGTAGTGTGCTATGCCAGTCAGGTGTCTACACTTAGATTGGCATCAGTGTGGTGACCTCCCAGGAATGGGGGACCAACAATTTGCCTAAGGAGGGGAGAACTGGTCCAGGTTAGAAATGGAGCAGGTCAAAACTCCCGTGCTGATAAGCAGTGGGATTGTATCTGGGAATAGCCACTGCACTCCAGCCTAGGCAACATAGTGAGACCCTGACTCCAAGAAAAAAAAACAAACAAACAATATTTCACTAAACTTTATGTAAATTGAGAAATATTGGGAGTATTTAATTGAACCATTCTAAAAGGAGTGACCAAGAATTAAAATAACACATTAAGAGTAAAATCCATGTGTAATTTTGATTAATCATTATCTACCTGGGTTTGTCCGTAATTTTCTGAAACAAGTAGATAAGGAAATTGAGGTAAAATAAAGGTAAAATCTTGCTTGTTGTTACATAGTAGATGAACATTATAATTTCCATTACAACCATATGGATTCTATCTCGCAGTCTAGTTTTTTCCCCCAAAATAATATAATATTTAAATATTTTTGCTTTTGTTGCAATTCCTACGGTAACCATTTCCTTCAAGCTCTATGTCATCTTGTTTATTTTGTAGTTTAACAGCATCAGCAAACAGAGATTTGGAGATTACCATAAATGTCATTCTTTCGGCGATCTCTTGGTCTCAATTTGAGGTCTGCAAAATATTGGTTCAAGTTGAAAGTACCTAATGTTTTACTCTTGATTCTTCTCCCTACCTGTAGATCCTAATTAATTTCTTAAAAAGGTTGGATATAAATAAAGAGAATCTGGGTAATGTACTCCTTACCCATGGGGTGCTTTTACATGCTAATGCACACATATGCTCTTTGGTGATGGTGAAATTGCATTAATGGTGCTATTAGATATCATTGATTTATCTTAAGATTTATTTGATTAGAAAGTATTTGTTGGGGCCGAGCCCGTGACGCACTGGGGAGAGTGCAGCGCTGGGAGCGAAGCGACACTTCTGCCATGGGTTCGGATCCTATATAGGAATGGCCAGTGTGCTCACTGGCTGAGTGCGGTGTGGGCGACAACACACCAAGGGTTGCGATCCCCTTACTGGTCACGAAAAAGACAAAAAAAAAAAAAAAAAGAAAGTATTTGTTGGGGCCGAGCCCGTGACACACTGGGGAGAGCGCAGCGCTGGGAGCGAAGCGACACTTCTGCCATTGGTTCGGATCCTATATAGGAATGGCCAGTGCGCTCACTGGCTGAGTGCGGTTGGGGCGACAACCCACCAAGGGTTGCGATCCCCTTACTGGTCACGAAAAAGACAAAAAAAAAAAAAAAAAGAAAGTATTTGTTGGCTTGTTGTAGTGTAATTAGGATGAAATCTGTCTAAACTCTGCAGTTTGTGGAGAAAAAGGAACTCTCATACACTGTTGGTAGGACTGCAAAATGGTGCAGCCTTTATGGAAGATAGTATGGAGGTTCCTCAAACAATTACAGATAGACCTCCCATATGACCCAGCTATTCCACTGCTGGGAATATACCCAGATGAATGGAAGTCATCATTCTGAAGGGATACCTGTACTCCAGTGTTTATTGCAGCACTGTTTACAGTAGCCAAGAGTTGAAACCAGCCCAAATGTCCATCATCAGATGAGTGGATAAGGAAACTGTGGTATATCTATGCAATGGAATTCTACTCTGCTATAAAAAAGAATGAAATACTACCACTTGCAATAATGTGGATGGACTTAGAGAAAATTATATTAAGTGAAACAAGTCAGGCACAGAAAGAGAAATACCACATGTTCTCACTTATTTGTGGGAGCTAAAAATAAATAAATAAATAAACACACAAACAAATAAAGGGGGGGTGAAGACAAAAAATAATAATAATAAACTCTGCAGTTTTCATGAAATGGCTTCTTATTTTTCCCAGGGTATCTACTTCTTTCTATCCTAGTTCATAAAATATAGTTCATACACAATGGGAGTTTTTATGCTTATAATAAAGCAACTTTAGGAGATGCAACTGCCTTTAGATAATTTTTTTTTAATACATATGTGTGGGGTACAACGTTGATTTACAGTAATTGTATACAATGTGTGGTGGTTAGATCAGTATAGTTAGCTTATCCCTTAGATAATTTTAAATGTTTGAAACACTTGAATCAATTTTTAGAGTTTTAGGCATAAATTTGGCATCTTGACCTTTATAAACAGTTTTTCATAATAAATTAAAAAATTTTTAGTTACAAATGTTTTGAATTATAAAGTGTTAAGTCAGGAACTATGTTTTAAGCCTGATTCTGGTTCCAGGGGAAAGATTTAGAGTAGCACAGGCCAATAACATTTTCTGCAGTGATGGAAATGTTCTGTATCTGTATGGCTTTTCAGCACTTGAAATGTGGCTAGTGTAACTGAGGAACTGAATTTTTTATTTTATTTTATTTAAATATGTTTGCATTTAAATAGTCACATGTGGCTATTAGCCTGTTAAATAATACAGGTCTAGAGGCATGATTTTCAATGCAAACTATATTCAGTCTTGCAAGATACATCTAAGATCCTTTTTACTTTGGTTAAGGATGATGAGTTAAAGCAGATTATTTTCTTACAGCGTAGGTGTATTAGTCCTTTTCTGTTGCTTATAACAAAATATCTAGAACTGGGTAATTTGTAAGAAAATGAAATTTATTTATTTTTATTATTTATAGTGTTAGAGGCTGGGAAGTCCAAAGTCCAGGGAACAGATCTGGTAAAGGCCTTGTTGGCGGTGACAGTGACACAGGGGTCTCATATGGCAGAGCAGAGAGAGAGATAGCTCCTCATGTACTCTCCTTTTAAATTCCTCCAAACCATGCCCATGACAATCATTAAACTATCAGATGAATTAATCCATGAACTTGGGCATGGTCTTCACAATCTAATCACCTCTTCAAGGCCCCACCTTTCATTGATCATAATAGGTTTTCCCACCCTCAACAGTTACAGTGGGGATTAGCTTCAATGTGTTTGGGAGGGACATTTAGTCCACTGCATTGCATAAGAGAAAAAACTTAAATCAATTATATTAACCTTGGTTTTGATAAAGATAGTCGTGAATAAATACAAGCATACTTCAAAAGTTCATGAGAAATTAAATTAAAAGATAATACAAATCTTTCCATGAAATTTTTGAAGACCCCTGTATGACTCTCATACTTTGGTGTCACAAAGGTTGAAATAACTTGGTTGTATCTTATGATCAAGAGATCTTGAATTGCAGGATTTTTCATGAGTGGGTTTATGTGTTTGTTTACAGTAATCTGATGAAGAAGATCCCTAGTTTGTTATTTTCCAACCTGTGTGCATGATTGTACAATCACCTTTATAAAAATAGAATTTATCATTTTTTTCCAATTATATAAATATATGTTAAGGGTATAAAATTACAGAAATACAAAAGGAATTAAGGGCCGGCTCAGTGGTGCACTGCTACGGTGCGCCGCTTGGGAGCGCGGTGGCGCTCCCGCCGAGGGTTCGGATCCCACATACAGACCGGTTCCCGCTCACTGGCTGAGCGAGGTGCGGGCGCGACACCAAGGGTTGCGATCCCGTTGCCGGTCTGGTCCAGTACGGGCGCAACACTGAGGGTTGCGATCCGTTGCCGGACACGAAAAAAGACAAAAAGCAAAAGGAATTAAAAAAATAAATTGGGCCGGCCCGGTGGCGCACTGGAGAGTGCGCCGCTTGGGAGTGCGGCGGCGCTCCCGCCGAGGGTTCGGATTCCATGTGGAGACCGGTTCCCACTCACTGGCTGAGCGTGGCGCGGGTGCAACACCGAGGGTTGCGATCCCGTTGCCGGTCCCCGGTACGGGCGCGACACCGAGGGTTGCGATCCCGTTACCGGTCAGTAAAAAAGACAAAAAGGAAAAAAAAAAAAAAAGAAAAGAAATTAACCATAGTTCTAATATCTAAACGTAACCATTGTTAGCATTTTAGGTGAATTTTCTTTCAATTTTTTGTTTTAATGTAATTCTTCATGGTGCTGCTTTAATCAGCTGTTGTTAACATAAAACCAGCTTGACTCTGTGCTTTTTTTTTCTTTCAGTTTTCTTTATCATCGCTAATGTGTTGCCATTTACTAGCTGGGTAATTTTGGGCACCTTAACCTACCTCATAGGATTTTCACAAAGTTTAATTGATACACAAGAACTCCTTAGAACATACCCTGGCACATAGTAAGCATTGATAAATATTAGTTATTATCATTTTGTCCCATTTGTGCATGATGTAGTCTCAGGTACTGTACAGTCTTTCTTACATACTAAATTTAAAGATGATATAAATAAACCTAACTTACTGAGAGTCTCCCTCAAATAAAAACAGCACTCTAACACAAGGGGGAAAAGGGGACAAAAAACTTCTCCCTTGTGTCTTAACCTGGGGTGTATATACAGTATGTACCTTCTATAGAGAGCCAGAGTGAATGGAAACTTGATTAAGTCTATTGTCAGCACTAGTTCTCAAACAAACACGAAGTCATTTTTCGCATTGATAGATATGGCCAGAAAGGAAAATGGTAAAATTTGAACTCATTTACCTCACCTTTCATTATTCTCATAGAATAAGAATACATAATTTCATTCTTTCTCTGGAATTTTTTTCCACTGGGCATTGTTTTCTGAGATTTACTTTCCAGACCTTCCAGTTATTCTATCTCAGTTTCATCTCATTTCCTCTTTGGCATTAATTTTACAGAAGCAATCCACATTTAGAAACATATGCACAAGGTAATAAGGAGTGGGATCTCTGTAACTTTTTAAGAAATAAATTTTGTTTAAGACAAAGTTTAGTAGTAGCTTATAAGAATTTGAGATAAGGGGCCGGCCCGGTGGCGCACTGCTACAGTGCGCCGCTTGGGAGCGTGGTGGCGCTTCCGCCGAGGGTTCGGATCCCACATACAGACC